TATGTATAGGTTTTTATTTACATGAAACTATTTGATAAAGTTACTATTACAAAGAAAAAATTATAGCCATTAAATTTATTAAAACCTCACAATATATTTTATGTACACCTAGTATCAGTGAAATTTTTTATAGTAAGATTTATTATTTTCTTCCATATTGCCTACAAAACTATCTTCAATTTCATAAAGAATCAAGTAGAATAATTACACCTAGTTCTTCTATTACCCCATTTTAGGATAGTGTATAAATTTAATTTAAATTACATATTGACCTTTGTGGTAGCAGTCTGTGTTAGTCATTTTTAGAGATGTTTCATTCAGAGGTAGGAAATGTTTTAGAATTTATGAAAATGTTATAATCCTGGTGTAATTTTCTCTTAATACAACCTTTATTTCACATGTACCTTTTAAGTCACTTGCTACTTTCTAGTTTTATTTTTGTAACTTTTCATTTGTAATTAATTCTATTAAAGTCACTTGCTGTGGGATGTTTCTGATTGTCATTATTACAGGGACAAAAAATGCTTCTAGGATAATGTAATTCAAAAATGTGCAGTAGTTGATAATAACACATTTTTGGTAACAGAGCTGCTAAATGCACAAAAGTATTTTTTAAAAGCCAACTCTGCAAAGAAGTCTCTTACAGCATCATATTCTGGCATAACACTCTATCCAACTATTTAAAGTTTTAAAAATATCTGTTTTTTGTAATAAAAAAGATAACACGAATAAACAAAATAATGATAGAAAAGTAATTCTTTACTAAGGTATATGTTAATAATTATGGGACCACTCTTAAAGTCTTACTATTAGAAAAGTTCTACAATATATCAATCTTTAGTATCTTGTTTTTTTGAACTGTTTTTTAAACATATCAGCTACATGGAGGAGGTATAACAAAATACTCTATGCTTTTAATTTATTGAATGACAAACATTTTTAAGCTTTGATTCCATTTTGTATATTCTTATAGGTGAAACAAACATATATAATAATCATTCCTATTTGTAACTGAATATTTAAATTATGTTATTTGTGTGATGACAAGCTACAGAAATTTTTATTGTCAAGATGGTTATACATATTGGTGAGGAGGAGGGCGGGATGTATCATGTAGAAACATACAGGCATCTTAAACTTTGCTAAATTATTTAAACTATAACATACTAAACTGAGTCATTCATACTTGTGAACAGTATCTTTGAATGGGATCTAGTGATATCAAAAAATTCTACAGAGAAAACATTTTCCAACACTTAAAATGCTTATATTTTCCTGTAAATCTTGTGTATTTTTGATTGACTTTTAGTCTGGGTGTAAATATAACGTTACTGCCATCACTGAAGCTTTGTTAACTTTCTCTATATTATTAATGATTATATGTTTTTTGAGTTTTGAATAGTAATGTTTTTATCTTTTAATACAGTGAATAATAGTACTTAAAGTGCTATAAAATATCTGATAGTAACATTTATTGAGTACTATCTATGTGCCAAACACTGTGTTAAATGCTTTATATATAGTATTTCCTGGACTACTCCCAATATCCCTCTGAGATAAGTCCTATTTCCCCCTCTGTAAGTCAAAGTTTATCTCTTATGAAACATAAATATTTAGAAACTTGCCAGGCATGGCAGCTCATGCCTATAATCCCAGGTACTGGGGAGGCTGAGGCGGGAGGATCACTTGAGCCTAGGAGTGCAAGGCTGTAGTGAGCTGTGATTGCACCACTGCACCTCAGCCTGGGTGATAGAGTGAGACTCTGTCTCTGAAAAGAAAGAAAGAAAGAAACACTGAGAGATATAAAATGTGTGATTTCAATTAACTCAGACACCAAATTTTGAGATCCCAAGTAGAACTTTATGTTCATTTAAAAAATATTTGGACTTTCAGACATTGATTTATTTTAGCAAATTTTCAAAATAGATTGAATTTTAAAAACACATACTCCCTGCTATTTATGTGAGAAATATTTTAACTGGTTTCCCTTCCCCTTTTTCTCCTCCTTTTTTTTTTTTGCGTTGTCCACAGGATATTTTTATTTAATTGGCTTTACAAACTAAGATATAAAACTCCTTTTATTTTTCATTAGAAACTCTTTTCTGCCTGTTGACAATGTAAAAGCTACCCATTTATTGTATGTGCACTAAGTGTCAGCCGCTGTGTTAAGTATTTTACCTGCATTCTGTCAAGTGATCTTTCCAAAAACCTTCCAAGGCAGGTGACTGTTATTATCCCCATTCTACATATAAGGAAAATTGAGGCCCAGAGAAGTTACTTGCCCAAGATCAGAAAATTAGTGTTGAAAATAGTATTCAATTGTAGGTCTATTTAATTCCAAAGCTTATGATTTAACTACTACTATATATTACTGCTACGGAAATTTCTGTTTTCTGTGTTTTTCTATGTACAAATGACTTTACTGTTTTAAGTGGAATTTAGCAATATGAATATTGTTTTTCAGCTGTGAGTAGCAGAGTGCCCACTGGTTCAAACAGTTCCTCTCAGACCACAGAGTGTCTTACACCTGAACCCTGTTCACAGACTCCAGGCAATGTGGCTTCCCAATCTGTGCCCCCTGTGTATCCTTCAGTTGACATTGATGCACATGTGAGTAGATTGCTTTATTTAAACTTATTTTGCACATTCTGATTTCCTTTGGAAAGGCAAATTATCATTGTAAAATCATTGTGAAAAGAAATATTATTTGCTCTTCAATTGATAGCCCTTTTGTTAAAAAAAAAAATCTAACTTATTTTTTTCTTCTCCTAGACTGAGAGCAATCATGACACAGCATTAACACTAGCTTGTGCAGGTGGTCATGAAGAACTTGTATCCGTACTCATTGCACGGGATGCTAAAATTGAGCACAGAGACAAAAAAGGTAAGAAATGTCAGTCAGAAATGAAAGCTGAGTGTAGATACATCAGAAAACAATTGTAAGTTTTCCCTACCAATAAGCAGTTCTTAGACCATCTCAGTGATAAGAAAGATAAGCATATTTCAATTAAGAATATCAAGATTCATTAATCTGCAGAGCCAAATAATTCTCCAAAAATTCAAAAAATAAACTATAGATTATTAGGGAAGTAGAACAAGTTGCGGTTGCCCTTCTTAATTCAAAGGTAGCTTGTTCAGAGGCATCAAAGTTCATTATAAATATAACAGTTTTTATTGACTTAGCATTTCTTTTTTATCAGGTATTTATATGTTTTTGTCACTAACAACTTGAGGTTTAGAGCAGTTTTATGTTAAATATCAATCAGTATCTGCCCTGAAGTTGTTTTTTTTTTTTTTTTTAACTAAAATAATAGAGAATTGAAAACAGTGGCTTTAAAATAAATACAAAACAAATTTGTTTGAGATTTTTGTTTCCTGATTTAGGTTTCACACCACTGATCCTGGCAGCAACAGCAGGACATGTCGGAGTTGTTGAAATCCTTTTGGATAAAGGTGGAGATATAGAAGCACAGTCTGAACGAACTAAGGATACTCCACTTTCATTGGCGTGTTCTGGTGGCCGTCAGGAGGTTTGTTAATTTAATTTTCATTTTGTAAATGTTTTGCTTGTATTTTAAAATATATACATAGTTAATATTTTAGCTGCCTGAGTAAAATTTGCACATTTTGACATGTTCCATGTGCTTTATGAGGAATGGGATACTTTTTGTTAAGTTTAATTGGAATATAAATGCCCTTTTAAGGAATCTGTTTCTTGTGGCCAAATAAAAATTTCCTTTATCCTAACATTTAGTGGAGTTGAATGAACCACAGTTCTAATGCATATGAAATGCAAATTCATTGCCCAATAATTGACCTATACAAAGGGTAACATCTTGTTATTTCAATATAATTGGGATTTCAAAGTTCTGAATTTCTTTTTTTTTTTTTGAGATACAGTCGGGCTCTGTTGCCCGGGCTAGAGTGCCGTGGCGTCAGCCTAGTTCACAGCAACCTCAAACTCCTGGGCTCAAG